AGAACGGCACACCAGATTGATTATATCTTGGTACGTGCTCGCTGGGCTTCTTCGGTAGAAGACTGCCGTTCCTATCGCGGCGCAGAAACTGGAACGGTACAGACCATACCCTTGTACGCGTCCGCTTCAAGATCCACCTGACTACTCGCCGGAAGACTCGTCTCCCGGGTANATGTCTCCAACCAACCAGTTGTGGAGTCTTTTGGAACCCAACCTGGAAGGCGAGAGACACCTACTCTACCTAATGGCTCTGTGCATTTCTTTATGCCTCGTCTCCACGTCATCTGTTGACCCCCACGTGGTTTCCTCCAGCCTGGATGAGCCACAGCGAATAAAGCGCGGTGCGGCAGACGATGGCTGGGCATACGCAATACGTGTCCTAGCCACCGAAGCCTAGTAATCTGAATTCGATGTGCTAGCAGGTTTATACCGGATAGACTCCCAAACACACGACCGCTTACCTCCACGTTATTAACCCGTTCGCTCCATCTAACGTGCGTAAACATCGATAACGGAAAACTTCTAGTCGACGGATATCTTCTACTCGCAGAACTGAACGAACGGTGGCACAATATACACGATCTTTCAGCTTCAGTGAAACGTCGCGTCTACGCCAAAGAAGTTTCAGTCCTGCGTGCGCTACTCAGGCCTTGGAAATGCGGGCGGTTTCCTTTTTCTGTGCTACTGTCATTGGCCACGCAACTACCTAAGTAGGAAGAATAATCCACCATAACTAAATCCTGACCATTTAGTTTCAGAGCGGGAGTAGACGAAACCCAATCCTGCAGCATCATTTTGCACTTTGAAGGTGCAAGGCACATACTGAATGTGGCTACTGTACATGTTAGTCTTCCAAGTGCTATTTGCACGTCCTCTATGCATTTGAACAGACAGACGAAGTCATCGACGTACTCTAAATCGTACACCTTTTCTCCAGCTACCCATTCAATGCCTACGTTTTGGAGACCCTTAGTGCGCTCTCCAGTATTTCGTCTATGACGAAATTGAACAGGAATGGCGAAATAGGGCACCCTTGACGAACGCCAATGCTGGTGATGAACAGCCTACTTAGTTCGTTGTAGAACTTTACACGACCGGAGGTATGTGAGTACAGTGACCTCAGTAGGTCAAGGAACGCCGCGATCGTTGGCCGACGGTGGGTATGACGCAGCTCAAAAATCTGACGCAACGTGAAAATCTGATCAATACATCCACGGCCAGGTCGGAATCCGGCTTGCTGTTCACGGATGTTGGTCTCTCTTAAAGGCATCAGATGTCAAAGTATAAACGAAACTAGCTTTTTGATGACTATCGGGATCAAACTTATCCCGCGATTGTTTTCTCAATTGTTGCGAGATCCTCTCTTGAAAGTGGGAACGATCAGTGATTCGCCCCAAGATGAAGGAATGTGCTCTTGCATCCAAATGTTGAGCAATAGCGTAGTAATAGAGGTTACGAGGTTATCACCTCCCATCTTGAAAAGAGTGGGAGGGTGCTCATCAGGTCCTGCTACCTTTCTTCGCTTCAGAGATTGAATGCAAGACCGAACTTCTGCTTCCGTTGGAGGATCGCATGACACTGCCCACGGAGCTTCAGTCGGAGATGAAGCAGCCTGGTTAGCACTACGCCAGCTGAACTGTTCGCTGAAGTATTCTGTCCAGCGATCGAGTCGTTGATCCCTATTGTGAATAGCTCGACCCGTCTTATCGCAGACTGTTTCACTAACCGGAGTTCACCAACCTCCCGTATTGCGTATCAGTCGGAACAGTGTTTGACTATTCCGATGTAGCTGCTACTTCCATTTCACTAGCTATTGTTGCCCACCAGTTCTCAAGATCCTTCTTGAAGCTCTTCATGAGCCGATGTTGTAGTTGCCACCTAACTCTATTTTGATCCTGGCAGGTCGGGACTTGCCGTTTTTGCTCTATCAGGGCTACCGACTCCTGAGATATTCAATGCCTCCGATGGGTTTGAGGCTCAGACCCACAAGCAACATTCGCTGCAGAATGCATTGCTCGCCTAATCTGATCCCACTGTTCGTCTACATCACGTTGAGGCGCACTCAGCTTACGCACTAGCTCTGACTCATAGAGTGCATGAAATGCTGAAACAGATAGTCCTTGATGAGCTATCCGAGTTTGCTGGTTTTGCCCCCGACCTGTAAGTCGGAGAGTGAACTGCATCAAAACTAATGCGTGGTCAGACTCAACGCAGGTGGTCTAATAGGACCTGCAATTTTGCACTAAGCCACGCCAACGGTAACACTGCGATGTGGTCGATTTGAGTTAGCGTACCAGTTGAACTGGAGCGCCACGTTGCTGTCCCTCGAGAGCTGTGTCGGAAGGTGGTGCTGGCTAGGAACAGATGATAATATGCGCAGAACTGAAAAAGTCGATCGCCGTTATTTGTTCGTTGGCAGGGCAGAGCACAACTAACGCCTAGATAAGCTTCTGATGCGTTCCGTTTTCCAACCTGCGCGTTGAAATCACCTGCAAGTACAACTTCGCCTCATTCGAATGAGATCGGTGAGTTCGTCTTAGAAAGCGTCCTTTTGGGTATCAGAACTGCAACTGGTCGGTGCATATGCTGTTACGATGAACAAACACCTTTTGGTGTTGCTTCCCTTCCGGACCCTGGAGACTCACTGCACATAAACGATTGTTGACGAGGATCCAATCGATTAGAGAGGACTCCGCCCCATTACTCAGTACAATACCTACCCCGCGCTGACCTACTGAACGAGCTTCATCGTCGATTGATGTGCGAAAAACGTATCTCGTCGACAAATCTGGCACGCTCAAGTGGCTTAGCGTAGTAGAATCCTGGATCCGAGTTTCCGACACGCAGCAAATATCAATTCCTAAGGATTCCATTGTACGAGCCAGACAAGCTTGTTGACCTAGCTGCATCAAAGTCCTCACGTTGAAGGCCCTCAGATTAAGTGATTGACGAGGCTTCACAATCTGCAATCCATTCCGTGTTAAATAACTTGCTCTTTGGCAATGACCTATGGCGAGCGAAATCCAAGTTGCTTGAGGGACTATTAAAGGTCGGAAGAAGGGGTAAAGGGAGAGGGTTGGGAACGGAAGACAAAGAGTTGAACTAAGGTTGGGATATTTGAGCAGTAGCCCACTTACCACTACCCACCTCGCTCGATGCAATGGGCAGAGCGGTCCTGATTATCCTGCGCGATAACCGTTGCAGTATGGAATTATTTTTATTTTGTGTACGCATTGGGGTTAGGTGGACGGGTACTAATAGGGTATCCAGCCACTAAGCAGGAACCAAGCAGGACAAACTGAGGAATGTTACCTCACGGAAACATTAGGAATCCTGGACTGGCACAGAGCCACCCGAAAAGCGTATGAACCGTTCTAACCGTCACCGGCCACCAACAATTCGACCCTGTTGCCATGCAGGTCGCACTTGGTTGTGCAAGGGTTAGAAGTGCACCCTTGAATAAAAGCCGAGCGACGCTGGGGACGTCACTTAGTACCTCATTCCCAAGTTTCTTCATGGATCGGCTTACAATAGTACATCACGCTCATGCTACTGCGTTCTCGGGAAGCGACGCGCCCTGCGCTCTCCTAGTGGCTGAGGTGAAAAATGAGTGAGCTGGGAACCTAAATAATCTATTCACTAGATCCAGCATCCATGTGGCCTGCTGGAATGTTAGAACATTGCTAGAAACAGGAAGCCAGTGTATCACGATGCGATCACTGAAAGACTACAAGATAGACATCTGTTGTCTGTCCGAAGTCCGACTACCTAACTGTGGCACAAAACTAATCAACGTAACACATAGCAAAGCAACCTACCGGTTATACCACAGCGGCCCAACCGACAACTCCGGTCTGCACTGGGTAGCAATCGACGTGAGCGGCTGGGCCAACAATGCCATGATCGCCTGGCAACCAATCTCGGCCAGGGTTGCCATAGCACGCTTCAGAGGAAAGCCGATTAACCTGACAGTCATCGCTGTATATGCTCCAACGTTACATGCGGAAGAGCCGATTTAAGACTTCTTCAACCAAGTTCAAGACGCAGTGAACCGCAGTCCGAGGCGCGACATCCAGTCCATTGGGCTAGAGATTAACACGTCGAAAACGAAGACATTTTGGACCGAAACTTCTACCATGACACAACCCCGCTTGATTAACGGGGAGCCTGTCGAATCAACCGAAGTTTTCAAGTATCTTGGCTCTACGATAAGACCAAACGTCCAGGCTAAGGATGAAATCTAACTCCGTGTAGATGGAGCTAGAAGAGCCCTCCTACAACTTCTCAAACCGTTGTGGAATCGATGTGAAATAAGCTTAAATACTAAGTTTCGGGTTTTTCAGGCTTCTATCCGCCCTATCCTCGCTTATGGTTGTGAAACCTGGCCGCTAAGAGTACAAGATACAAGGAAGCTCGAAGTCATTGATCATTGGTGCTTACGCCGCATCTTGAAAGTAAACTGAAGAGATCGGATTTCCAATGATGAGGTTCGACGGCGCTGCTTGAACATCGACAAGCTTTCAAAAATGCTACAACGCCGGTGCCCTCAGTGTTTTGACCATGTGCTCCGAAGGCCCGACACTCAACTCTCCCAACAGGCTGTAGCCCCTTCACCGTGCCGCGGATGGCGTTGCCGACTCGGTGGTCAACAGAAAGCCTGGAGTAGCACGATCAAGGCGGATTTGGAATTACTGGGTCTTCAATCCGTATATGGAATTCGCAACTGGAACCAGAACTGAGTTTCTCACTTCGCTAACCTTGCTAACGATCATCATACATGGGCCGCCATCATTAGAGACATTCAGGAAGCCGACTTATCCTCTCGCAGGCGTTGGTCGATCAAAAGTAAAAGTAAGAGCGGAGTACCTGAGAAGTATGTATCGATTCTCAAAGAGTCGTATCATCATAACTCAGGTCAGGTTAGGGCCTACGGCTAGCTTCCGCCACTCTTCGCCGTCTCCAGTGGAGTTAGACAAGGCTGCCCTACATCCTCATTCCTTTTCAACTTTATCATAGAGGATGCCGCACAGAATGCTTCATCCGATCTAGCAAACGGTGGAGTCGAACCCCGAAATGCCGCTGCTCACGCTCCGCGGTCTGTAGCAAGATCAGCGCAGATTGTGATCCAGCTTGAATTCCACTGGCGAATGCCGTAGAAGGAGTGAAGACCAAGGTTTTCTGTATCCTTTCGTACCGTGTCAAGCCAGGTCCACAGCGCCAGTTCGGGCAGGGAGGCCGTGCAAACGCAGCTTTGGTTAGGTTGTTATCAGACTTACGAAGTATGTGACTAAATTATTGTAGTCGCCGCCTCTGTATTAGCTTCCGCAGCCATAAAAGATTAAAACACCGCCTCATTTGAGAGCTGATCCCTCCATCGTGCTCCTAGACTGATACCTAAGCACCAGTGATCGAAGACATCTAATCGTCGACAGTCTTCGGCTCTAAGTGGCCAGGTTTCACAGCCATATAGCAAGAGAGGACAGACTGCTGAAGAGATTTTGTTTTAAGGCTGATTTCATTTCTACACCAAAGGGAGTTCTTCAGCTGTAAAAACACCTTTCTTGTAGCATCGACGCGCACTTGCACCTAATCTCGAGCTTAATATGTCGTTTTACTTCCTTTTTTATTCATTAAATACACAAATGCACAGTCAGCACTTAGGAAAAGGGGCCGCAGTTATACAAACGGTGCCTGTGTAGATGGGCGGTGGTGGAGCGATTCGAACCCCGGACTTATAGGTCACAAGTTGGTAACCTAACCACTTGGCCATTACCGCCCAGTTGGGGAGTGTGGTTGAGCCCAAGTACTTAAATCTTTTTACGGATTCGATCGGCTCGCTGTCTAGTAGTAAAGTATTTTCGCGGTGAATCGGGACTGTAGTAAAAGTTTTGGTTTTTGAGGTGTTCACCTCTAGACCAATCTCGGAGGCCTGTCGACGATTAATTGGAGGTTGGACATATCTTCGCCAAAGACGACAATATCATCAGAGAATTCTAATTTGCTGATGAGGATGATGATGAGCATGTCTAGGCGGTCATTGTGCTCTGTCCTGCCAACGAACAGATAACGGCGATCGACTTTTTCAGTTCTGCGCATATTATCATCTGTTCCTAGCCAGCACCACCTTCCGACACAGCTCTCGAGGGACAGCAACGTGGCGCTCAATTGCAACTGGCACGCTAACTCAGATCGACCACATCGCAGTGTTACCGTTGGCGTGGCTCAGTACAAAACTGCATGTCCTATTAGACCATCTGCGTTGAATCTGATCATTAGTTAGTTAGTTTTAGTTAGTTCAA